CATTTAAACTATTTGTTTGTAAATGGGTAATGGAAGTGGGTGGTCCATATAACAATTGGACCATTTTCATGCAAATAAGGAAGATCCCTTGGTCACGGGTTTGAAGCCAAAAGCAATCTTTTGATAAGGAGGTAAAATTACATACATATGATCTTTTTAATATCTTGAAAAGCGATCGTATACTGAGTTAATTTTTATTTATTTTTTATTTTTTATAAGAGATAGATAAGAAGTGCTTAGGATAAGTTGGAGGTTTCCTTTATAAGATAGAAGATTACTCTACCAACAACAGGTGACATTAGGTATATAAGTTTGCAAGGTAAATTCAGTTGGATTTTTTTTTGTAGAATCAAAGTTCCTTCCAACCGCTGACCTTTGTCACACATACGAGGAAGTGGGATAATATTTGGACATATGTAATTACTTGTAATTTTTTTAATAATTAAATCAGAACGTCTGAGTTTACGGCTCGTCTCAAATAACCTCTTAATCACAAATTTGGTTAATTTCTTCTAACATATTTAATTGGACAAGCATTCTTCTAACATATTTAATTGGACAACCACTTCTTTGACTTATTAGCCCTCTTTAAGCAAAAGATTTTGTGAGGGTGAACGAGGACTTGAAGGAACTGAATCTTGGCCACAAGAAATAAATTGGACAACTACTTCTTTGACTTATTAGCCCTTCAAGTCCTTGTTCATCCTCACAAAATCTTTTGCTTAAAGAGGGCTAAAAAGTCAAAGAAGTAGTTGTCCAATTTATTTCCTGCGGCCAAGATTCAGATCCTTCAAGTCCTCGTTCACCCTCACAAAATCTTTTGCATAAAGAGGGCTAATAAGTCAAAGAAGTAGTTGTCCAATTTATTTCTTGTGGCCAAGAAGCTTTGAAAATTAATAAGATGATGTGAAGTTTACGTACATAACATCTTTTGGAATATGCAATGGAATTATTCCTTTAAAACCTACCTCATAACCAAGAACCTCTGCGAGTACAACAATAATTAATATCATTAATTAAAATCTTACTTTTTATAAATGTTTATATATTAGCTTTAAATATCTCAAACTACTTACTTTACTTTTCTAATTTGATATTACATGGTTTCCATTTATTGATTTTTTTATTTTTTTTATTATTATTTTTTTTTTTGTAATTTTCAAATTTTACTAAAATGACTAAAAATTCTCTAAAATGGCAATATTATTTATATTTTAAAAAACATCTGAATAATTTTCTTATATTTTAGAAATTAGACTAAGTATTTAATAGTTGAAAAAAAAAAAAAAAATCCAATTGCAAAGAAAATATTAAACATGTTTAAGAGTCCACTGAAAACATTAGTTTTAAAAACAAATCATTTGTTGGGGAAAATTGTGGTAGTCGTAAATTTTAGCTCTAGTTTAACAAGGGTATAAATAGAAGACGAGAGCTTTAAAACTCGTGTAGAAAAAAAAAAAAAAGACTTGTCTATAATTTTTTCTTAAATTTTTCACACAAACTCAATTAAGATTGGGATTAAGCAAAGGGTGTATAAGTTAGGAAAACTTGCTTGGATTGAATTCAAGTTCGATTTTAGGATTACCAAATGGGCAATAGCTCAGTTGGTCCCAAAGGGGAGGTCTGGGTTCGAGCCTAAGTGGAGGCGTGTATGAATTTGCTTAACCATCCAAATAAAATAAAAATAAAAATAAAAAAAAAATAAAACTAATTGAGACAAATCCGACAAATAACTCAACGCAACACTTTCGAAAGACATGAACCACCCACTTTAAAAAAGAGATGAGATATCACAAGGCCACCTAAAATGTTTCTGCACCACTGATTGATGGAATATTATCAAAATTGGATGCCAAATTTTGATAATTCTCGTGCATATTATACAATGGGAGTTGTTGTCCAATATATATTTTGGACCCTAATAAGAGTCTATTCACAATATGCCTCCACATTCGAAATGCTCATCACTTAATTCTACACAACATACATGTATAGGGGTGTGCTTGTGTGTATATACAATATGGCTTCTATACACTGCGTATGTAATATTTCGGTTTCGTTTATTTCAACGTAAAATATTTTTTTAAAAAAATATTTTTCTTTTTCACGTAAAATATAATTTTATTTTTATTTTGAAAGTATTTGGCAAAGATCTACGTCGAGATTGAGATCGAGTTCATGCGGAACATGTAAAATAACTTGACGAAAGTTGATGGATAAGTTATTTTTGTTAAATTTTAATTTTTTTTTGTTAGTAAAATATTTTACATTTACCAAACATCAGAAAATAAAAAAAAAAATAAAAAAAAAAAAAAAAAACATTTTTTAAAAAATATTTTACATCCAAACAAACGGAACCTTCATTTCAATAATGTAGTTTGAGAATGAAAAATGAGCATGCATGAGAAGGGAAGTTTTTTGGAACCTGAACAGCAACTTCAGACTGGTTGTAAAGTCCCTTTCGTCCCCAATCTTCGACCACCAAGAAGCTCATGAAGCCATTGGCTTTCACCGGGTGGAGGAAACGTGGAAGCTCAGCGACGCAAAAAACCAAACAAAACCCTAAAGTAGCACCCAAAATGAGGAAGAAATGCATAGTTTCATTGCACAGAATAGTCATTGTCTTGAGAGAAATTAATAGGGAAAAAGAAAGCAATGCTTTTCCGTTTTTACTCTTCTTTGTCAAGCAAAGCAATGCAATGCAATGCTTGTGGGTTTTGAAAGACGTTATGAAATATCAAATCTAAGTTTAGTACAAGAATTAAATGAGGTAGGGTTGGTTTAAAGAAAGTGACAGATAACGGAGCTTCAAAACAATTAGCTTTAATTAGAGCTTGAAGGGAATGCGTAATATATATATATATATATATATATAAATGCGTAATACATTCATATAGTATATGATATTACTATATTAGTCATAGAGGCTTCTACGCATCTAGTTGCGTGGGTGATGTGTAATAAATTATTATAGAGAAATTGGAATTTTTTTTTTTCTTTTTTTTTTTTTTTTGTCCTAAGACAATAAGTGTTGATGTTAAATTATTTAGTAAATGCATAGGGACGAAGTGTGGCACTCTAAGAATAAAAGGAGTCACTAATTTAGTAGACTATCCAGCCAACTCCAGATAAATTAATTTGATTCTTACGTTGGTAAATAAGTAGCAATTTTTAGTATTTAGCCAGTAAGGTGAGTGGTCATTCTCAAGCTTGAGAGGACACAGTACCAGATATGCCAATAATAGCACAGGTCCAATCACTAGAACTAAACCAGTAATCAACACTAATTATTGTTTGGCATAGCTAAAACTTCCACCATAGCTTTCCAAAGCTCTCCACCTCATTTTCCACATAATGTTGACGCCATTGCTATTTATATACTAGATTGTAATGTAATATATATATAATTTTAATCAAGGATCACTGTGGGATCACTAGGATCACTGTGGGATCATGTTCCCATAGTGATCCTATATAATCAAATCAGATTTGGATTTCCAATTGACAAGTCTATCCTTAGAAGTAATTTTATAGTTAGGGCAGCATTAAGCCGAGCCGAGCTTTGGCATGTTCGGGCTCAGCTCGTCAAGATCAGAAGGGTGCTCGGGCTCGGGCAAGCTTGGTATTGCCATGCTCGGGGTCGGCTCGTGAGTTTCTTGGCACTCGGCTTGGCTCGAGCTCGTTTGGCCAAACAAATCCATCTCAATATATCTTATATTGAGGAGAAATATACAATACTAGATTTATACAAGAATCTATGTATATATAGAGAAATCCATGTATATAGTTTAGACCTTGACTTTATAAGCCAAGCGACTTCAACCCATTCATCTATCTTCTCCTTCTGTCACCATATCGATTGTTGACCATCTCCTCACAAATCACACGGCTGCTGAAGATGTAGCGTGGATTAACTACACCAAAGGAAGAGAGATGACATATGAGATATGATCGAGCTTGGGGATGGAGTGTGGCGGCAAGAATGAAATAAGTTAGGTTTGAGGTGGGTATTAAGTTTATTTAATTTTAAATGTATATGGACTTATAAATTGGACTTGTGAAGTAAAATTATGGGTCAACATTATGATTATGTGTTATTGATATGGGCTAAGAATAAATCAAATAAAATTTAACTAAACGAGCTGTCTCGGCTAGTTTACTAAACGAACCTAAAAACTAGGCTCGAGCTCGGCTCGTTAACGAACGAACCCGAGCCAAGCCCTTAGTGAGCCGAGCCCGAATTGTTCATGAACAACTCGGTTCATTTGCAGCCCTATTTATAATTAAAACACTCTTAGATTTCCTCAGTTTATGAAGCTTTATTGAACAGTTCGGTTCATTTGCCGCCCTACTTATAGTTAAGACACTCTTGGATTTCCTCAGTTTATGAAGCTTTATTCAAGACTTGATTTGATGTCTCAACCCTAAGCAAATAGGCAAACCATCTTGGACAAGGAGAAAACCTGGGCCCTCGGCCTACTAACTGGGTGTAGTTTCTCTGGCCATTTCGACATGGTTTTTCTTTGTTTTTCACCTTTCTCCATTTCCAAATTTATAAACCTAAGATACCTGAGAAGCCCACAAAATGAGTTATAGCTTCTTCTATGCAGGAGAAGGGGTTGATCTCAAATGTAAACACTGAATCCAATGTGCCCCTCCAAACACCTTTCATCAACAAGAGATTCTGGTAAGCAACCTTCAATCTTTTCAAGAAAATCAACTCCAGAAAGAAGATATGAGCCACCAAAGAAGGGGGGAAAGGATGATGACAAACAGATCAAACATTAAACCCTACCGTGAAACAAAATTCTTAGCAAAAAGACTTGACACCATATTAATTAAAGAAAAGCGAGCATATTGCAATAGAAACTCAAGAATTTTCTTTACCTAAGGTCAGCCTGCTCAATCAGGTACTGTCCCTAGATTTCTGCCACAAGTGACTTTCCCCCACCCCGGGAGAAAAATGGTTAGCGATGGCAGCCCTCAGCTGATAGAAGATGAGACAGAAAGAAGCGCTACTGTTAAATTGAAATATAAGTTGCTCGACTAGTATCAGAATCCATATGACAGGATAACAAAAAAAGGAACATAGAGCAGAAGGGACTGTAAAAAGAACTGAAAATATCCCTCCTTCCCTTTGCCCACTGGTACTATGCTCAAGTCTCAATTTTTGCCGCTTTTTACATTTGCTTCAAACTCATTGCAGTATGCAGCCTATCCCTTTGCTCTGAGCCACAATCCTACTCTCTCTCTCTAAACTGTTCCAGCAGATTCGCTAACCACCTTTACATCAAGGCTTTGTTGTAGTTCATCCTTTGCCACTGCTCTTCCATTGCAGTCCTGCTGTTGCATTTTTCCATCTACTTTACCCTTTGGAGAAGCACTACTTTTACCATTTGAATTCCCCAAACCGCGGTCTTTTTCTGGCAAGGATGGTGTCTCTGTGGTTTCAGTAGTTGACAATAGTTGTTGAGTTGAATTACCAGAACCTGGCGGAGGAAGGAAGACTCCAGTGCCAGGGACTGGTAGATGAGGTGGAGGATGTCTGGGCGGAGCCACTGTCCATCCAGATGAAGCAGGTGGAAGAGCAACTGGTGCAGGATAAGGCATGGCTGCAGCAACTGCGGTGGGCACAAAAAGCGGCTGAATGACATTTGGAGGTGCTAGTTGTGGACGAGTGGATGGAGCAGGCAATACCCCAGTTGTTGGAACCGGACCATAATGCTTAGGCACAGGTTGGCGAATATGATTGGATGACCTATTAGATGGTGGGCCCCAAGGCGAGGGTGATGGTACCGCAGACAAAGCTAGACGACCATCATTTGATGTGGTTTTCTTTGGCTCTGACTTTGTCAACGTAACAAGTATCCGCAGTTTGCGGAGGGAGGGAATAGCATGTTTGGAAAAATCTGCAGATCTTCCTTGCATTACAAGCAGAGAACTGAATTTTCATGGTGAGAATTACATCAGGAAAATAGCATGAGACAAAATGCAGCAGATAAAAATTAAATAAATGAGACGCAATAATAAACATGGAAGAGTTGAAAATTAAAAGTTTCTGATTGACACGCATAAAGGAACTACACTTTCTGTTTATGTATAGTGTTAATTCACGATAACTGATTAGTTTTAGCCCTACTGCACTTTGTGTTTAAGTTGAGGCAGCCCCTTCCATGGTCTTCAAACATAAGATAATTACTTGTCGAAAATTAAGAGAATTACTTGTCGAAAAAATAAAATAAGATACAATTAAGATAATCCATCTTTTTGTTTATTTATTGCTTTTGTAGTGCTCCAACAATGATCCGGACAAAATTCCATTCAAACTTGAAAGGATCTTCTGGGGTGTGAAAGTGTTTGCAAGAAAGATTTTCCTCCAGTGGCCACCAAAATGTTTCTACTGGGCGTAGACTTTTTCAACTTTCTCATAAAGCACTAACAGCTCTTCTTGGAGTACTCCAGTTATAAAATTGCTTAAAGTCAAATTATTAAACTAGACTATGAACATGTTTCCATTGACATTTTTTCCTCAAAGACACACCCTTGTATCTCATGCACCCCATAGGATTATCCCTACCACAGTTCTTATCCAAAAACCAGCATTCACGAGCTCAGCATATGCAATGAAAAAAGGGAGATCTAAAGAGATTTAGAAACATTACCCGGGTCGAATAGAAAGCTTAAGAGAGCCTCTATAATCCCCAGGATGATCTGTTCCGATCACTTTCCCAAAGGTCATGTCACATTCTGTCAAGAATAGGACAGAGACAGGCCTTCCAAACCATGCTGGCCACATGTGAGGATGTGAGTGATCACCCTACACATAAGAGCCATAAAGTCAGGCCTGCTTATCATTATGCATAATTTTTCAAAAGCAATGAAAATAATACTTTAATTACCAACCTCATTAAAGATATCAATGACACAAGAATCTGGTTTTACAGTGATTGCTTGCATGCTAACTAATCGATCGATTATATCTTGCAGCAAGCCAGGAATGGGTTCTATTCTCCGATCTGAAAATTTCATATTAAATCCCAACAAATATAATTGCAAGAAAACATGACTAACATTCATTCTCATAGAAATACCAAAAATATATATATATATATTCCATATAAAAAAAGAACGAAAAAGAAAAAAAAAAAAAGAACTAAACTTGCCTTTGGAGGTCCCAGCTGCAATTTCATCATCAGGAGGTGCTTCTGCAATGGGCAGGCCAAACTGAATCATCTCTCTTCCATGCCCCCTCATTGGTCTCTTCGACATCACAAACGTTTGTCCTGCTTCTTGCAAACAAGATTATAACAATTATTGGCAATTACAGTCCGAGTGGAGAGAAGCTTGAAGCACAAGAAAACTCCACCAAACAAAAGTAGGCATCATGAACCAGAGAATAATATACAACAGATCTCAAGTTTAAAACAAACATCAAAATCTTCCAGAGCTCAAACTTTCACATGTCCATAAAGACATAGGTTAAGCTTGAAGAAAAGTGAGAAGACAGGAAATTAGCACAAGACTATTTTGGAGAACATGTGACAGAATAGTTGAAGGCTTCTGTCCAATAATTTTTTTGAAATGTGTAGCTTGGCCAGTTTTCATGCAAACCTTTTAAAATAGACGGTTCTTCCATACTAAACCAGATTCATTCTAAGTTTCTATCCATTATGTAATGTTATTGCAATCACGAGAACTAAATATAATAATCTGAAATGAAAATTTCAGTTAACACTTTACCCAATCAAACAAAATCCAGCATGTAAGAGTTGAGCAGAGCTTGTACAAAACAATCAATGGGTAGCCAATCAAGGCTCTGCTTGTCACTACCAAATGAGTTTTGAGCAAGTTCTAACTGAATAAGGTTAAGCCCACTCAAACTGACAGCTCAATCTTCTTCTTTTTTTCCATGATGGTGATGTCAGGCCACTTAGTGCACCCGAAAATTCACCACCGAGCTCAAGCTGGGATTGAGCATGACCTCACATCTATATAGCCAAGCTTGAGTAGTTGAAACTCAGCTTAGCACAGCTTGTTTACATCCCCAAACTAAGAAACACAAAGTTAGATTGCAAGCAGAAGAGGGTGAAGTGTCGGAGCATGAAAGTGCTCGGAGAACCCTCAAGTGTATAAATGAAGGAACATTATCAATATAGAGGAATAACTAACACTAGTATGAAAAATAACTACTCGCACATTCTGACACATGTCTAGATCTTGTGTGATAGGCTTATCCCCTTATGATTGAAAGGGAAGTTTTATTGAAGATCTATTAGACCGGCAATACTTTATGGCACATAATATCGGAGATGGCTGGAGTAGCACAAATTGGTCACCCCTTTTTTTTGTTTGGTTGGAAGGAATGGAATGAGGATTTTTATATTTTTTACCAATATAACCTCATTATATAAAATTATAAAAACAAGTACTTTTTTGGAAAGGTTAAAATTGGTATTTTATATATATACACAAATGTAGGTCTCTTCCGCCCAATTTTGGACGGATGAAAAAAATTAAAGCAAGGAGGGATGCTTCCTCCCTCTCTTCCCTTCCTTCCAACCAAACATGAGAAGGTTCATCCATCCCTCCTCTCTTCCGTCCTTCAATCCATCCCTCCAACTAAACATAGCATAAATGTTGATATGGATGTGTGGTAAGACTAGAAAGGATAGAACTAGAAACTATAACATTCAGGGGATGTGCCACTCTCACATAAACCTAGTACGGTACGCCCTATCAGTTAGGAAAAGTGACATAGTCCACATTGAGGGTAATACCAAGGGGAGATGAAGACCAAAGTTAACGTGGGTATAGTTAGTAATGAAGGATATGATAGCTAGTGGATTGACCAAGGTTAATGCCTTAAATAGGGCAGAAAGGAATCATAGGATTCATGTAGCCGACCCCAAGTAAATAGGAAAAAGGCTTGGTGGTCGTTGTGTTGACACGTGTCTAGATCTAAGAACTTGAACAAGTATTTATTAATTTATATTTTTATCACAGTGCTTTTGAATTTAAGGTGTCCCTTTCCCTCTACAGTGTTACTATCTCCTTGGAGTTTCGAAATTCACTTTCAAGTACAGTTGATATAGTTGAAGCACAGTCAAAATATGGGTTTTGGGGATGGAATTTGTGGCGACAGGGGGGGTTGGTTAGCTCTGTAAATGTGTAGAGAGGTCTTTTTCCCCAAAACAGGAAAAAGTAATTTTTCCCAGGGTGGCTCATTCTCCTAGCATGACATAATCACAAAAATGTCAATGAGCATGCATGCCTTACAAGCTCCTAAAGGAGTAAATAAATTTGTAGCTCCAAAGCAGGCACGTCAAGTCGTCAACTGAGAGATGGAGGTTCCCGCAACTAGGGCTATAGAAACACTGGACTCTTCAAAAAGCATTGATTCATGGCTTTGATGCACAGCTTAAATCTCAAAATATGGTGATCACTGACTTATCAAAAAAAAAAAACAAAAAAAAAAAATATATATAGTGATCACTCCCATAAAATATACTTGAAAAGGAGAAAAGCAATAAAGGTACAGTTTTGGATTTTAAAATTCTGCTTTTATATTTAGGTCTATACTAAGATACTAAGATGTGTCTGTAAGTCCACTTGCTATAACAACATTAATTGAGCCATCCATATCAATATTATCCAATACTTTCTAAGGAACGAAAAATTGAAAGAAAAGGTGAGAGAGAGAAAAAAATGCAAGCCTCGCCATCATAATGCATTATACGGAGAGTCCCATCCAGCCAACACATTCCTGTATAAGTTACCCAACAACTTTTCCAAGCAATATTGGTATCAATCAACATTCATAGCTCTCGAGCTACTCCAGGGTTCAGGGGTCAAGAGCTACTTGCATTTAAAAGTTGCCAAACTAAAAGTTACTCTGGGTTCAAGCCAGGTCTCATCAAATCCAAATCCAAAAAATAAAATGCATCAGACATAAGTCTGAAAGGCTTAATGGATGAACCAAGAGGTGCAAGACTAATTCAAAAGGATTTTTGTGTGCATAATGAAGAGCATATTATAAACTCAATACCTCAAGCCTATAGTGTTGAGCGGACACCATGTATACAAGATTTCAGCCAATAGTCCACAAAACAAACAAAGTGAAAAAGCTAGGCCTTTGACAATTATGTCGTGTATCAAAAAGATACCTCGATGTATCAAGTTTCTATTACTCAAAAAGCTCAAAATGAATGTTCCCTGATATTTTCTTTAGAAGAGGGTAAATTATATTTTTCTAGGTTGTATAATCTCATCCTGAAATATCACAAGGTTGGTTAATTAAATAAGTTATGAAAGAATTTCTTTTTTGCTTTTTTTGCACAGATCATATATGAAACATATGGTAGCAAAAGGAAGATAATACTTAGTTTCATGGGTGAAGTGCAAAAAACCCATATAATATAGAATTAGTGCAAAATAATCCCCAAGGTCGGTTCGATACAATTAGAGGCCCAAGGGGACAACTTTAAACTAGGCCTCCAACACTAGGGCTGCAAATGAGCCAAGCCGAGCCAAGCTCAGGGTTGTTCGGGCTCGGCTCGCCAAAATCAGAGACTTGCTCGGGCTCGGACGAGCTTGGCTAGGGTATGTTCGGGCTTGGCTCATCCTTGTTTGGTTGGGCTTGGGCTCATCTCAGCTCAAGCTCGTTTATATATATATATATATACAACCGCATGCGTATATACACACAAAAACATCTCAAGATCTGTTTATATATGTACACACATACTTAGAAGATGAAAATCCCATGGCCATCGATCTCTGTCAGCGCCTGATTCTCAACCATCGTCTGTGTTCTGGGCAGGTGATGTGTATGGCAATTGTTGGTCTTCTTCAAAGTTGAGACCAAGATGAAAGAGAAAGAGTGAGAAGATAGAGAGAGATTTGAGAGAAAGATGAAAGAGAAAGAGTGAGAAGATGGAGAGATATTTGAGAGAAATAATCCATAACCAGTGTGAGAGGAGGCGAAGTGTGGATGCGGCAATTAGGGTTTCAAGTGATAGTGAAGTGAATTGGGTATATGTTGTCCTAAAGTTTGTTTAAGGCCATTGGATTTTAATGTAATCTAATGGCTTATATGGTATTAGTTTTATGGGCCTTAACAAGTAGGCTTAAAACATAAAGAATTTTGGCTTAAAACATAAGGAACTTTGGCCCACACTTCTAATATATATGGGCTAGCATCTTCAATATAAAAAAAAAATAGAATATAATGGGCTTCTTAAACAAGCCTGTTCACGAGCCTAACAAGTCGAGCTCAGCATTGCTCAACCTTGGCTCGTTTATTAAACGAGCCAAAAAAATGTGTTTAACCTCGGCTCGTTTACTTCATGAACGAGCCCAAGCCGAGCTTTTAACGAGCCGAGCCCGAGCTATTCATGAACGGCTCGGTTCATTTGCAGCCTTATCCAACACCACAATCTTCTTTATTTCCTTTACATTGTCTTCTTCTTCATTTTTCTCCCTTTTTTTTTTATATATATTTGGATAAGTTCACCACTACCACCACAGTATTGAGTTTATATGACTACAAAGAATTTCAATTTTAATTACTTACATACGTGTCGTATATATATCTCATACACTTTTATTAAACTAACGCACATTTTTTTTTTTTTTTATCACTCCAACACATACACAGTTAAACAAAAGAGCTCTCACATCTAGCCAAAGCACCACATACACTAAAAGATAATTATATATGCTAATGCATAACAACCACAACAACATATAAAAAATTAAACTAATGCAAACCATACACCACACCCATTCAGACCCATGAAGCACCAAAAATAACATGAAGTATTTGAAATTATCTCAATAACAATGGGACAAAAGTAAGTTTATGAGAATGATAACTAATTGTTTTTTTAATACAATTTATTTTTCGGTGATTGTAATGAATTCTTTTTTTTTATTGTCTCAGAACAAAGCTAAATTCAAAAATTCAAGTTTTCAAATCAAATAAGTTGGTAGATTCCTTTCACAAAACAGAAAATAGAACGAAGAATATGCATTTTCAAAGTCGCCACAGACGTTTCTTTCCCTTCAAAAGTTCTGCTATTTCTCTCTCCCCATATACACCACCAAACACAGTGTGGAACTACCCTCCAATAATCACGAGCGTGACTTTTCACTGGGCATCTTCTCCATGCGTTAATCAATCCTATAGAGGAATGGGGCATTACCCAATGCACACCAAAAATGCCGAAGATGAGGTTCCAACAATCATACGCCACAGGATAGTGCATAAGAGTGATCCACAAAC